TAAGAAAAAGCCAAACAACCCATTCCAGCTTCCTTGTAGTCTTCTGTCATGTCCTCGTTTTTGAAAGAAAAGTTAATTTTGTGGTAGTTCTGTCAAACATAAAACACAACCTTGTTTAAACAATGAGCTGTCTTTGCTCAAGTGTATGTTTGTGTGGAATATTGTATGTCACATCTGTTTTTGAAGAAATTTATGTACTGCTCCTTGCAACTATTCTCAGAATTACTGTTCCAAATCATTACTGAGGAATATGAGAAAACTTGTTTTGTTTTTTTTTTTATGTGGAAACATAACTTCTGGAAAGAAGCAGCACGTGCCTGTAGTTGCAACTTGACAGCCTACATTGAAGCTGTTCCACTACACAAAATTGTACTCTGTCTTGCTTTGTTCTCTTAGGCTGTGAAATGCATCTTGAAACTGAGAGGTAAATAGAAGTTCTTTTATCATTATTTTGGCATTCTTTTAGAAGGGGCAGCTGGAATAATGGATGCTGCTCTCATACCAGGTAATCTTTCATTTTTCCTGAAGTTCAGTTTCATAATTTTGGAAACCAGAAACCTGTTGAGCTGCTACTTGGAAGCAAATTATATTTAGGTGACAAACCAGCTTGAGGCTGCAGGTGTAGATGGGCAGTTTGGCCTTGTGAATTTCTATTTACTCCCCATTATCATCTCTCTTGACAGTAGTCATTGCACCACTACCATAAAATGTTAGAATGATGATGACTGACTTTTTGAAGAATATCTCAAAATACATTTTTAGTTAAGTACAAGGGCTTGATAACAAGAATTTTGAAAGTTTCGTCGTACTGTAATAAACGTTCTGTCTCATCTATAAAACGGTGATTAAATAGTCCAGCCCACTTTTGAGGATGTGAACTGATGGAAACAGGTCTTCACATTTGCTAAAAAGTGGCTCCCATACTGATCTGAATGCTGTCTCTTTTGCTCTTAAGTCATATCTGTTGCCGTGAACTGGGAAAGTTGCACAAAAATAGCTGTTTTCTGTTTCTCATTTATTCTTCATGCAGAAACATGTGGCATGGTTATGTTTGGCAGGAGACATGGATGGAGAGAGGTCTGCAAGGGATGTTCAGTCCTGTACAGTCTGTTTTGTACAGATAGACCTGCTGGAAATGGAAATGTTAGGCAGAACCAAATGTTGGCTTGAGGCTTCCGTATGCTTTTCAGGTAGTGGCGTTTTCTGCTTTCTTAAGTACAGGGATACTACAGAAGTGGTAGAATTTTCTACTGAGACAATTTTAATTAGCCATTCTGGGCTCTTCAGTTTCTCTTGTGGAAATACTGCTGTAGTTTAATCAAGGCCTTCTGCAAACCAGCAGACTTCATAATAGCAGATCTGTATCGGTGAAGGCAGGTGCTTTGACTGGCATGGCGCAAAACTGTGCTGTGGAGCATGGCAGCACGGCAGAGAGACCTGTTAGTTTTCTACCGAGTATTTCTTATGCTGCTAAAGTGATAGTAGTGAAGTGTCAGGGGAGTGCCCAGAAGAGCTGAGTAGAGACCAGCTTCTCCTCTTAGCAAGGATGGTTTCTAAAGTGATCTCAGTGCCACAGTTTAACAATTCACTGGTGTCTTTTCCATGGGGGAAGGCTTTTTCATTCTTGTGCTTTCTTCTGGCTGCTCTAGACCTGCTTTTGCTATGGTGATTAAGTGACCAGCCAATTCACACTGGGTAGATAGAAGATCAGGTGAGGTAATGTCTGAAGACTTAGTAATCATCTAGTTAACTTAAATGTTAAAGAAGACATCACTGTCCAAAACTTGAAGCTTTTTTTTGTTCATAGTTATGCTGTATGGGAAGTTCCTCAGATAATCTGACATCTGTAAGTTCTCAAGAAGCTGGAAAAGATCTCATTCCACATTATACTTCCATTGACCAACTAGGAAAAGGGAAAAAAAATATGTTGAAAGTTGCCCTTACATTAGCCTCTAGACACCCAGTACATGATCATAATGAATAATTGTGAACGTGTTCTGTGGAAATCATGGGCTGTAGTAATTTTTTTTGTATTTCAGTCACTTATTAATTTCATTTTTTTACCACTTAGTGAAAAGTCTGTAAACTTCTCAGGGGGCTAGAGATCATATGTTTTTGTGTACAAAACAAAAAATATGTTCAAAGGCTAATCAAGAAAACACTTTTTTTAGTCAGTTAACTATGCCAGTATGGATGAACAAGTGTAGGGTCTTCATTCAGTTCTAGACTTCTCTGTATAGTAACTTTCTCAGCTGGCAGCCATAATTATACCTGCAGTTGTTAGAACATTTACTATCCGAAACATGGGGAGAGTACAAGTGAATTTTTGGCATGTTCTTCCTTTCCTGCCTCCTTGCGGTGGTGGTAAGGAACATGTATCAAAATAGATGAATACAGGAAATGCGTAAATGAGAATTGTTCATGTTAGTACCTCTGGTATAGAAGGAACCTCTGAAAAGTCCCTCGGGAAAGCCTCTCTCGTCTATGTTCTCTCCAATTTGGTAATGTGTTTTTAATGACTGAACATATCCATATTTTGAAATGAAATAGGCTTTTTCTGCTTTAAAAGACAGTTTTTGGCAATGTGCTTTGCTTGCAGTTTGTAGGTGAGTCCTTGAAGGAAAAGTGTTGCAGAAAATTCTCCGTGCAATTGGTCCACTTCTGGCATTAGAAACAGAGGCCAAGAAATGAGGTGTAGGATGTGGCATCTTCCAGGGAGTGGCTCAGGAGAGGTTTTTTTGTGCTATCTGTGCCTGTTTCTTCTGTGTAAATAAATAAGTCTTAAGAGATACAGTAATCTTGAATTTACTGAAGGTAACCTTGAAGATTTTTTTTGTTTATAGCATTTTACAAAAACTTGTTGGGAAGGAGCAAAACACCTAGTGTGGTAAAGATCCCTTGTAAAACATCACGTGTATTGCTGCTGGAGGACAGGTGATGATGGGTAGTGTGTCTGTTACTTAGAGTCTGAGTAAAAGTAAACATAGCAGTGTAAAACCTATTATTCCACTTCAAATTACATTGTATTATTTATGCTAGCAGTGATAAGAATGGGATTAAAAACAGTGCAACCAAGTGATGGTTTTTTTCCCTGCTTATCAGATAGAAATTTAAGGTCCTAAGGAAAAAAAACCTGGATCATGACAGTCTCTCTCAACAAGGCTCTGTGTACCTCTGCTGTAGATCTTGGAACTCTAGCTGAGGCAGGGAAACAGCAGGGAGCTGTGCTGTGTTGTGTACATGGGGTGAGGCAGCACTTGACCATGGAGTACCCTGAAGGAGTCTACTAGTATTTGAATGCAGCCATACAGAGGTTAAAAGGCAGCCTGACAGCCATGTTGGATCAGTATCTTCTTTCTGTCTCTCGATCCAGCGTTTCCTCCAACTGCCAAAGAATTTATTGAGCTGTGTGGTGCTACCCTGAGTTGGTCTAGTGATTACTTTAATGGTCAGGGCATCTTTGCCTCTATAGGTCGCAGGAGTCAGAAACCACATTTGCAATCTGGCAATATATTCTGTCACATTTGATTCTCCCCAGATCAAACAATTTGTATGCTACCACAATAACCTTTGTACCTTATATATGTTTGCTACTGTAGAGTATTATAAATGGATAAATGAATACCAGTTTATACCACAGTCGGATATGATGGATTCCATTCCCTTATGGCTCCCTGTACTGTCTCAAATTATTTATCTAAATCTGCCCCATCCTCTCTGAAATCAGCTTCTGAAGGTGGTTCAGGGGTGCCTTCAGGAACTAAATTCCAGACAGCCGTAGTGGCTTTTCCTGATGCAGTAGTTGTGGCTAAGAAATCCTGAATCAGGTCAGCAAAGTTACTTGTAATGACCACGTGTAAGTGATGAGATTACCTTTTCCAAGTATGGATCTAAAGTTTTTTTAGCAAATTGTAATAAATCATAAATTTCTAGAAAGAAATCAGAAGTCATGAATATTTGCTAAAGCTTGTTTTACTACGGGATTCATAAGAAGAGGATCATTACAAGTGGAGGAATTAGGAAGACAGAAATACAGAGAAGAAATATTTGTAATACTTGAATAAGCATCTAAAAAGTTCATACAGAAACTCCAATAGAATATTTCTGGCCCCTTTTGTGCCTCCCAGCTGCAACAGAGCAGCCAGCAATGGGAGTCATATGTAGTCCCGGGTACTTTGAAGGACCAGAAAACGTCATGAGTCAATAAATGCAGAACATATTTTTGTAGAATATTTTTTGTGTAAAAGCTGACTTTGTTGCCAGGAGATGATTGAAGTAAACTGTTGTTTGCTCAATGGTATAGCAAAAGCTTCTACTTTGATGATAAAAGACCATGTGGCATTTGTTTTTTTTAACCTGTTGGTGCTGCAGAAGTGTTTGGTTTGTGAAATTTAGCTATCCAGGACGTCAGTGGTGATGACATAGTCTGTATTTGCCTAAGCAATGTAATGAAGGCCCTGCTTTCTGTACTAGGAATATAAGCTGTTTGTCTTGCTTTTCAAAGTAGTCTGCTTCCTCCTCTCCCTAGCTGTTGTCTCTTGCTCAGTCCCAAAGAAAAGATCAATTCCTGCCTCTCCCTGTGAATTGTGAAGCTGGGCTGTATTGCTTACTTGTTTTTCAAACAGTGTTCTCTCCATGTGGCCTCTCAGGCTTCAAAGCAACCCTCCAGAAACATTCACAAAGCTTTCTGCTTGCTTCTTAAGGTCTTGAAACAGTATCTGCAAACGCTTGAGGAGGGCTAATGCTTGTGAGGTGTTTTGGTTTTGAATACTAAACACACTATGATGTTGTTTTGTTTCTTTATTCCTGCATTTCCATATCTCCTTTCACATGCTTAACTCTTTTTGGAAAATACTGCCTTTTGCACTGACTCAGAGGTAGTGCTTGTGGCCCCTCAGTAATATGGGCCATAAGAGCTTGTGTGTTTGTCATGGTGTTTAAAAAAGTATTGCAATAAATAGACCATTAAGTTATTAATGTATCTGTTTTATCTTCCACAGAAGCTCCTTGTGCTACTCCACTGATCTGTAGCTTTGGAAGGCCGGTGGACCTGGAGAAGGATGACTACCAGAAGGTTATATGCAACAATGAGCATTGTCCTTACAGCACTTGGATGCACCTTCAGTGCTTCTACGAGTGGGAAAGCAGCATCCTCGTCCAGTTCAATTGCATTGGCAGAGCCAGGAGCTGGAACGAAAAGCAGTGTCGCCAAAACATGTGGACCAAAAAGGGATATGACCTGGCTTTTCGCTTTTGCTCCTGTCGGTGTGGGCAGGGTCATTTAAAGAAGGACACTGACTGGTACCAGGTGAAGCGAATGCAGGATGATAAGAAGAAGAAATCAGTGTTGGAGAAGAGTACGGGAAGGTCCATGGCAGAGTCAACAGAGGAGGCCAAAAAGGGCAGGCCGGCCAACAAGCCCCAGAAAGGCTTGAGTAATGACCTCCAGCGAAGGCACTCGATGGACAGGCAGAACTCCCAAGAGAAGGGTGTGATGGGTGGCAGCTACGCAGTTCGTTCACCTTGTGTCTCTCCTGGCCAGTCCCCGCCCACTGGCTACTCTATTCTTGCCCCCACACACTTCAGCGGGCCTCGTTCCTCGCGATACTTGGGAGAGTTTTTGAAGAACGCCATTCACCTGGAGCCTCATAAGAAGAACATGGCTGGTGGGGGCATGTTCAGGAATGCACATTTTGATTATGGGGCAGCTGGCTTGCAAGCACATAGGTCAGGACACTTCGATGCTCCTGTGCAGTTTTTGAGAAGGCTCGATCTATCTGAGCTGCTCACTCACATTCCCAGGCATAAATTGAATACTTTCCATGTGCGGATGGAAGACGATGCCCAGGTGGGCCAAGGGGAGGACCTTCGGAAGTTCATCCTTGCTGCTCTCAGTGCCAGCCACAGGAACGTTGTAAACTGTGCTCTATGCCACAGGGCGCTGCCAGTGTTTGAACAGTTTCCGCTGGTGGATGGGACCCTATTCCTTAGCCCATCAAGACATGATGAGATTGAATATGATGTTCCCTGTCACCTTCAAGGTACAGGTTGTCTGTCAGTCACGCTAGGTTTCATTAAATTATGGAACTGCCTTCTGTGCCCTGTCCCCCTCCATTATAGATTTTCATCCCTATTCTGCATTTTTAAGGAGTTCAGTAAAACCTAAAGTAATGTCCAAAGTACTCGCGTGGATCAAATTGAAACACTTAGAAGGAATTACAAAAAGCAAATACTCTGTAGGATCTGTAGGAACGTCCATGCCTTGTGTTTGTGTTTACAACTAAAAGATTTCTTATCTGATTTCTAGGTAGACCATGGGAATGTTTTCCAGCCAATCTGTTTTGCATGCTCCTTTATCTGTCGTGAACTTTACTCCAAGATACCCATCAACCTTTCAATTTTAAAAGTGCAGTGCTGTAGCATGGGTGAAAGTTGTATTTGTACCACTGATGAGGGTGAGGTGCCTCTCATTTGCTTTCAGACCAGAGAATATCAGTTTTGTTTTGTAGCAAACTGTTATTTTTTTCGTATGGAAAAGACTATAGTCTGACCTATGTTAACACTGGCCTGGAGAGGTTGGACATAGTAAAGGTAAGCTTTTAATATGGTGGGTTGAAGCAGCAGTGTAGTAGTGAGGGTTTTAGACTTATTTCCAAACTCCCACCTGTTTGAACTGTGTCCTCATCATGTCCCAGCTCTGAGATGAGACCAAGGCATGTGTTTTTTTTCTCCTAGAGAAACAAATGAATGTGGGCTAGCATGAGCTTCAGCTCTTCCTGAAGGCTCGAACTAAGTGATCAGGTGGTATACAGCTAGACATGCCTGTCCTGCAGCCTACTGGCAGACAGCATGGCTAAAATAAGTCAGAGTATTCATAGTTTGGAGTTCAGAAGCATAGAATTATATGTTGAAAAGTGTGTTGGTAAGTGATTAACAAAAGGTATTTTAACATTGAAGTTTCTCACCTTTTAATAAAATTTTTTGTATCCCATGCACTGTCATAATATATGTTACGTAACATTCCTTTGCTCAACAAACTTTGTATTTTATTTCTTTCCTTTCCTTAAATCACTGTGCACTAAATCGCTAAACTGTATTCATGCTGACATTATTGTTTCTGTCTTGACTAATATAGTTCAAGGAGAAAAAACAATAGGCAAATATACATGCTAAAAAAGTTCCAGGATAAACAGAATATACGTATATGAGATAACAACGCTTATTTGCTTTGGTGGGGAGTCAAGCACAAGGTGCTTGTCATTTTATCAGTACTAATAGCTGGTTTAGTAATAATGTAACTCATCATTTGTTAATGTTTGCCACTAAGAATGAAACTCTGTGAAATTTTACTTTTTGTAATTAATTACTTCTTAACTGTTGGATGATATATCTGAAAAACCTGCTCAGACAAGTTGCTGTGAATAATTAATTGTTAAAATTTTTACCTCCTTGTCCTGGGTAAAATGGTTTATTGTCAGAAGTGCGCTTTGAAATGAAATTTTTAAGCTGTAAGGTGCTGTTCCAGACTGTTATTTTCTTTTAAGTACATCAAATTACTTCTTTTATTTCAGGTGGGTTTAAGATACCAGGTACCTTGTTTCCTTTATAACAAGGATCCTGAAAATTAAGTGATAGGGAAATGTAGTATCTTAATGTGCAGAAACAGTGCATGACCTCAGATGGGGAAAGTTATGTATATTCTGGCACAACCCAACTTCTGTGTGTGGAATTATTTGAACATCACCAATGTCAAGTGCTTGCTTTAGGAACAGAGTTTATTATATTTGCGCTTTAGTCTCATTGCATCACGTTTTCTAAAGCCAAATATGCCAGTGTGGAATAACTCAATTTTTACCAGCTCATACTAGCATGTTTACTTAGTATATATATTTTAAGGAGAGTCTATTTTTTCTTCTTGTTTTTCTAAAGTAGTTGGCTTAAAAAACCAAAACAAGCTAAAACCCAAACTATTAATTTCAGAAATGTCTGATATAGACTAACCATAAATTATTAATATTTTGTTCCCACATATCTAGAAGAGATACAGGATGTGTGTCTGTTAAATTACAGTTTGTGATGTGTTCTGTACTTTGATGCTAAAAAGCACAAATTGCAATCCAAAATGAACACATATTATACACAGTCCTGTTATGTTGCTGATCTGTAACTGCAGTACTGCTTAGCTTTGTATTTTCTAGCAGTGCAAAATATGGTATGTTACAGAATTAGTACTCTATGTCAGCCCACTTCTAATAACCAACTATTAAACTACTAATCGCACCTGTAGCAAATGTGGATAGAGCCTTCCCAAATCTTCGTTCGCGAAGCCTAGCCATGAGAAACTACTAAACAATTTAGTCATTACAAATCAGGCATAATCTGTGTGCCAGATCTTTGTAATTTGTGTAGGGTTTTTTTGTTTTTTGTGAAATTTGATCTCAGATTTTGCATTGGTGATTTTAATCACATGTATGTAGTGAAAATATTTGATTTCCAAGTCTGAAACACTTGATTTTTTGAAAATAAATACAACTCAGGCTTTGAAAGTCATTGTGCATACAGAGCCTAAAGTCATGATAGAGCTCAATATATTCATAGTTCATGGCATGTTAAACTCTGTATGTGTAATACGTAATGTTTTTAAATATTCTTAATGAACGGTCAGAAGAAAAGACATGAAAAAAATGACTCTTTTAACTGTTGCTTTTTCTATGGGGATTATTAGATCCTTAGTTCCCTCTTTGCTGGAAGATTCTGGCAAGTTGTGAAATGAATCTGTACCAAGTTTGCTAATAAACTTCAGCACTTCACTTCTTCTGTCAGGTGGGGATGAAGCTAGGGCAAAATCCTGGTTTTGGAAACACAGCAGCTGATCTTACAGCTTAACCTGGCATCTGTTCTTGGAGGTTTAGCAACTCCTTTTAGAAAATATTTTGCTAAGTTCTACCAGCAAATGATGGAAGGGAGAGTGGGCAGGGTGATGACTAATTCCTGAGTTCTGCATGCATGGAAAATAGCTTTAGTCAATAGATTTAGTCAAATCCTATGTATTTCCCATAGAGAAGCTTTTTATACTTTTATCATTCATCCTTTATAAAGGAAAAAAAAAAAAAAAGGTGTGATTTGTGTCACTAAAGATCAGATAGCACATTGCAGAAAATGTGTCTGTTTTAATCTTCTGATTTATCTCATGAAGATATGTCTTTCCTGTCCACAGGAAGGCTTATGCACCTCTATGCTGTTTGTGTAGACTGCTTAGAAGGGGTTCACAAAATTATCTGCATCAAGTGCAAGTCCCGATGGGATGGAAGCTGGCATCAGCTGGGAACTATGTATACCTACGATATTCTGGCAGCATCTCCCTGTTGTCAGGTTAGTACTATACATAAATAAGACTCTAAGGTGAAATTGCTGCTGATGATAAAGTCAAGGTTTGTGTATCTCTTCTCCCTTTCCTCCTTCCATCCTTCTTTTGCAGTCTCTACCTATGAGTGGAATACAAGAAAGCTGGCTGGGTCCCTGTCCCTTTGTCTTAAGAGGTACAACAGCCTATAGCTAGACAAAAGGCATTGCAATGGTCAATGGTTAATACTTTTGGTTTTAAATAAGCCCCCTTAAATGCATTTGCTATGAAATCCAGTGCCGCATCACTAGCATCAGATATAATCCACATTTTCAGCAGCTGTTTCATGTTTTCAGATTTTTTTAGTTCATAAATCATGTTTTATCATAATTGTAGCAAAAAAGCTCCAAGGGAACAGAAAGGTCTAAAGTGTCTTTATGCTTGGAGATTACTCAGCTCTCCTTAATCTTTGCCGTGACTGATTCTGGTGATGGTGCTTCATCCACCACAGCCTGAAGCAACGTAGTTTTTATTAAATGCTCACCTAATCTATAACCTTGAGTGAGAAAGATCCAAGGCTTGGGGCTACTCCAGAGTAGACATGTGCCCAAGACAGCAGGTTAGTTAGCATTCAAGAGAATTGTCTTTGTGATGGACAGAGCATTTCTGCTGTGCAGGTAGGGGTAGTCAGCTGCAAAAAAAGCATTTGTCTGGGAATGATCTCAGTGGTCCGCTCCAGATGCTCTGACACAGAGGTGTTGTTGGTAGGTTAGGACAGGAGCCTCGCAGAGATGCACGTGTTCAAACTGCGCTCACTTCGTGGTGATGTGCGTACTTAAGAGCAATCTAAAATACCGTTTTGTCAATATGAAAAATGGCAATTTATTTTAAATCTAACATATTTACGAAAATGCATTGCTGTAAAGACAAGTGGTGTTTCTGCTGCTAGTTAAGATGACATTGATAGCAGTTATAACTACAGCCAGATACACTGCCTCCAAATTTAGTGTTTCTTGAAAATGTAACTTTAAAAACTAGGGACTTTTAAAGATAAAACACTGATGCTGACTTACTATCTTTGTAAAAGGTAGCAACTTTAAATCTGAATTGCTTCTGTAGAATGTATAATACAAGAATTAAGAGCTCATTAAGACCCTTAATTACATGATTAATGGACAGTGTGACAGTACATGGTTCAGAACTGATTATAAAGTCATTAACTGCAGTGACTGTAGTTGCCAGATAATACACATTATTGTTTCAGCATGATTGTTACAGGTGATTCCATGCATACAGAGGAATGACATTTAAATATGGTATATGACTTAACTCCAAATTGCCTTGCTGATTTTATTTTGAATAATTTCATGCCTTATTTCAAAATATTTAATTCTACACCACAAATTTACATGAAGGATAAAGCCTCTGTCAGGTTACTAACACTTAACTGATGTGCTGGACAGTAGCAATGGAGAAAACACTTTGGTTAAGAAATTAATAAAAATACATAATCTAATAGATTGTATTTCTTAGAATTTCTGCTTTTCAAGCAGAACAGATGGCTGTGAAGCTGTTGATTAGTTTCTTTTTGAGTCTGGTCTCAACAGGAATAGTACTTTAATAATTTCCTCCTCTCCTCATCCAGGAAAATCCCTTAAATCAAGGTGGCCATAGACAATACTTTTTTGTTCTTTTCAGTGAAGAGCTGAAGCTTTCATTAGCGTATTGGGCTGTGAGGTTAAGCTACAGTACAGCTCAGACCCTTGCTCTTTAGCTACCTTTACTCTTAAACTCCTTTACAATCCCTTCTGCTTCTTCTGAAAGACCTGCTGAGCTTTCATGCTGCCTGTTGCTTTCTTTACATCAGATGGGCTGTATTTCTCAGCTAGATTCCTTCTGAAGACTCACTTTTTTGTAACAGCTGAATATTAACGGCTCTGTCTGTCCTCACCTTTGACCTTTAATTTCTCATATCCACCAGTTAATGTTGCTTTTTTCTCAGTTGATTTTGTAGAATAGTTTGTGTGCTTGAAGTGATGTTTAGTTTGTGTATCCTGATAAGTATTACAAATGGTTAAATAGCTACTTAAGGTGACAACAATATCATGTTGTGCTGATAAAGTAGATTGAGTTATAAATTTGTTAAGCCAAAGGATTAAAATGCTGATATATTTCACGGACAGATGATGTTCAAGTGTCAGCTGAAATGGTTGAATTGCGTGGCACAAATTTAAAATTTCTCTCTGTGCTTTGGGACTTCATTAATAATTTATTGAGACAAGCACTTCTTGTGCTGGAGATCGAGGAATTGGTTCAGAGATTAGGCAAAACAAAACAATAATTTGTGTAGATAAACCTTGAAATTCTCTGCCTCTCGTCAGTCAGAATGGGACTTGACCTACTCTCCAGAATTTGGTGGTGATATTTAATGTGAAATATATGGTGCATACCTGTGAGTTACCAGTCCAGGTGAGGAATGTCCTTGCTAGCAGATCCCATTACTGCCAATTTCCTGACTGACCCATTCTCCTGATGGGGAGGGCAAGGGGCTGCCTCTGGCGGCTTCGTTTTCCAGAGGTGAGTTTGGTTGTTTAAAAAGTGTTTTTTGTTTGTTTGTTGTTTACAGGCTCGACTGAACTGTAAGCACTGTGGGAAGCCAGTAATAGATGTACGGATTGGCATGCAGTATTTTTCTGAATACAGCAATGTCCAGCAGTGTCCTCACTGTGGAAATCTAGACTACCACTTCGTGAAGCCATTTTCTTCATTTAAAGTTTTGGAGGCTTATTGACGAAAGCTTTGCTTTAGTAATAGCTATTTTATGGGTATTTCAACTTTATTACATATCTTTTTATAGGATTCATTCTGTGATGAAATTTAGTTTCTTTTCTAACTGAAAGAGCAGCTTCTTTGTCAGTGTACATATTAATATGTATATATATATATATATGTTGTTAAAACCAGAATCCTCCTGACATGATATCTGTGAAGGTTGGAGGCAAGCCAATTTAATGGCCTTTGAATATACCCCAAGTATGGGGTAAAGATCAGCTAAAAATGATTTGGGTTTATTTTTTTGTATAATTGTAATACAGTTTATAGCAAGGGTATGGGGAGACATACAGGACAGAGAAATATGTCCAGTTGAAAAATGGGTAGTTGTGTAGGGTCGTTCCTCCAGCTTGGTGAAAATGGGAAATCCTTGGAAAGAAATGGTTCTGTTAGTGCTGAATTCATTCAGCCTTTTAATCGGTCCTCACAGGCGCCGGAGCTGGCTTTATGCTGCTAGTCCTGCCAGTCCCCTCAGCAGGCTTTCTTTCAGATTTCCCAAAACAGGAGTAAACTAGGGTATCATGACAAGTGAATGTAAATTATGCCAGCAGATGCAATCTTGAATGAGGTTTTTTGTTTTGGCATAGCATCTTCCTGCTATGTGTGTTTGATGTGCATTGCCCTCATGGCAATAGTGCTGCTTCCAACGGGGCTGTCATGTGCCCAGCTGGGTCATCTGCTCATACCAAAACAAGCTGGAGATCTTAAAATGCTTTATTTAAAGGTATTTCTTCACAGACATATTAGAGAAGGAATTGGCTGAGCTGAGTGGGTATGTGTTTGTACGTGCCTGCTGGGGCTGAGGCTTTGCTGCCTGCTCTAGACTGGTGTGACTGATGTGGAAGGGGAACCATGAAGTGGGATCTTGGACCCTCAGATCTGTAAGAGCTGAGAGGTACTGAGTACAAAACATGACATCACTTTTTAAAACAATTAATTGCTGCATCTTCATATTTCAGAATTGTGTTCAGTTTAGGATCTAAAAACATGGAGACATTTTAAGAAAGCAAACTTAGCATATTTACTTTCTACATGCCTCTGTGCTGTACATAACAGACTGCATTAGGCAGTGAATTCGTATCAGAGAGTTTGGCCCTGTAGACTCTGCAGTTGTTGTTTCTTGATTCCCATTTCTCCTTTGCTTAAATAAATTTTTTTAAAATAGGTCATTATTCTTTTGCTTGGTTTCTCAAATCAGTTGAGACTTACAGGAGGTTTGGTTTTTTTTGCTTTTCTCTGTAGTGTATTTATGGAGTGTTTGTCCACGTGAGAAGTATGGGGGTTGTTTCTGTTTACGAGATGGGATTTTTTTTTCTTAAGTTTTTTTGTTTTCCAAATTAGAATCTTTTTAGAGAATGTATCTGTCAAAATCACGGTCTTGAAAATGGCCCTGATACTCTGCCACACTGGGAAAGAAACAAAAAAGTCAGAGGCCAAGAAAGTGTTTTTCCCATATTGGACTGGGAATTATGCTTTCTGCTAAGTTAAGAAATGGACATGCACATAAAACTCAAGCTGAATACCCATATTTCTTTGTGTGTAAAAATGCCAAGTTCACGGTTTTATTTCCTGGCTGTCTTCACTGCAGAATTAGGTTGTTTTAGCATTAGCTACTCTTTGAGTAATACTCAAGTTGCACAGAGGGTTTACGTGGGCACAAGTGACTTACTGCTAACTTGAGTGGTAATGTCCTTAAAAGCCACCCAGCTCATGTGATCCATTGCTAGTCTAAACAGCAGTGTTAGCAGGCTGTGGTAGCCTTCTTCACTGGTGCTCTTCTCCTTCAGTCCTCGCTCCTGAGCTTGGTTTTGGGTCTGCAGCACATCCTTGGGTTTTGTTCAGTTGTCCCCTGTTTCCTCTTCAAGGAGAATTATGGGAAGGACTTTGAGAGACTTCTAACACTGTCCCATGGCTACCACAACGTTACACCAAGCCCAGTTGCAGTGGGACCAGCACTGTAAAAATTGTTCATAGGAGCAGGAGCTGGCCTGGGCATACCTGGGCTGGAAGAAGGTTTCTAGGAGATAAAACCTAATTAGCTGTGCAGTGTAGACTTCCCTTATGGAGGGCAATGAAATTATAATTTGGATTAACTCCTTGGGAAGGATGAGCCCTTCAGCTTTGATGGTGCACTGAGCAGGCTCATGGAGTTAGGGTGGCTAACAAGCTTGGAGTTGCATTTACTGGCAGTACCATGAGAACCACACCAGACAGACAATGGCTAGACTGCCCCAGCAGCCTGAAATCATGCAGCAAAGACAAAGCTCCTGTAATGAGAAACGTTAAAGGATACATTTCTTCCTCTAGTGTTCGGTCTTGAGTGCCAGTCACACATGCCAGGAATCTAGGGTGTTACTTCCCACATAGACTAATGGCATTGTGTGCCCACTTTTTCGTGCACTGATGAGGAGAGGTGTCACTGTACAATGCACATGGTAGGGGAGAAGTGGTATCTGGAGTCCTGGATGCTTGTTCACTTGCTTCCCCTAGAGTAGCTTAATTTATAATTCTGTTCTTTAAGTTCTTAGATGTCTCTCTAAACATATGTGTGACAATCAAGAATGAGTAGATGTGGAGGAAAAGGAATTTGGCCAGCTTTAAAAACACAAGTGTATAGGAGATTGTACAGTATATCCAAGTCAAAAGTAGGAATGGAGCAGACTGAGAAAATGGGAAGGGAGAAGTGTATTTAAAGTCTTAGCAGTGACAAGGATTTACATACAAATCTATCCAAGAAAACAGTTTAGTTCTCCATCAGCTTTTCCTTTTAATTCTGTTGTTAAGTGAGTCTTACCTGCTGCTTGAGGAAATGCCTATTTTCTTGCAAAACACTCTCAACTGGAGGCTAGCAGCACACGTAGCACTGTAAAAATGATCCTTGATGGAAACCATCTGAGCTACAGAAAGATTCCTCTGAACTTTCACTCCAAAGTAAATTGTCCCTAATTTGTAGAGGCTTTCCCTGCTTCTTGCTGGTGCTGAAACCTGTTCTTGGGTTACTGCAAAATGCAGTATTTTTTGTAACTGCAGATTACAGTCAAGGAGTCAGCCCCTGCCTCTGGCCATGAGAGTTTTGTAGAAGGGCAAATGTAACTTCTTTGGGACATAATGGCTACTTTGGAGGTTAAACTAGACCACAATTGGCTTTGCTTTCTGTCTTGACAAGCATTGGAAGTAGTTATGAGCTTATAAATGTGTCAAAAGGGAAATTACTTCCCTAGCTAGGGAGCTGCTTGCTTTGCTTGTTCGGCTAAAGTTTATTCTTCATTACCTTTCATTTTTCTGGTGCTGTGTGGTTTTTTTTAAGCTGGCCCGTGGTCAGATTAAATTTGCCTGAAATATGTTTTGTAAACGAGAATACAGTCCAAACCTCCAAACCTCTGGATTTGGAGGTTCATTCTACTCTCCTTAAGTGCACGTTACTCCTTGTGATAGTAATAGGAGTTGCATGTGCAAATGCTTTTCTTTCCAGTAGTTAACTCTCCTTTCCATAGGAGAGGCTTGCATTTAGATAGATTTCATATTTTGGATGTGTAAAAATGATTTCATCCATCAGTAGGATGTTTCCAAGTAAATTCTGATGACCATAACTAACCAAATGGACATCTTTTACATGCTGATGTGTAATTTGACATCTACCAAGGTGAACAGCCTAAAATTGTTGTTCCATCTAATGCTGCGGAGTCATTAAAACTACAGTGTTCTGTAGCCAGCCCATAGACTATCTAGTCTATTTGCATTAACATCTCCAGTAGTGAGCAGTGTATTCATGAGTTTAATTGGGAAAATAGGGAATATTCCTACAAGGGAGGCATCTAACCCAATTTCTTTCTTTTTTCCCTTTTTTCCCCCCATGTACTCTTCGCTTTGCTGTAACAGGTAACCAAGGACAAACATGTTGTAAGGCCACTGGTGAGAAAACCCCTCGAAAATATACTTGTCCAAAAGGTTCCTTGTTGAGACATTCTTGGATTGCACTTTTGCAGATGGAAGAATATGTACATAGCAAATGAATGTTGATGAAACTAAAATAATTGGTTATGATATCAATTACATGTGTTGTTAGAGAATATTTTGTTGTGGCTTCTCTGTATTAAAAAGTAATAAATACCAGACAGCTAATGGTGTTGGTTCTTCTTTCCCTGTTCTTCTCTGGACTAGTCCTGCTCATTCTAGAATTACTCTAGTTGCCTTAAGTTTAAAGGGCACAATAAAACCAGGTTTTTGGTGTCAGTTAAAGTGAAACTTAATTGTAATAATTTTGGAGACTGCTGTCCTAAAAGGGTGGTGGTGGGTGATGTGATGTGCCACCTTGCCAAACTGAAGTCCTGTTCACTTTGTTGACGTTAGAAGTGCTCCGTGTGTAGCACAGCACATCCTGCGGGAGCTGTTTCAGGAATGCCCATGTGCTATGCCAGCTGTTGCCAGTGAGGCTGCATAGAGGACAGAGTGCTGAATCCTTCACTTCTGGCTGAGTCTGTTAATGGAAATATTCCCTCTGGTGCCAGTGAAATATCAGAAGGGCTTCTGGAGGGGAAAACACAATACAATAGCGCTACGGTAAAAGGGTTTCCTATGTTATGACTGTACACGTAATCTCTGAAAGCCAGTTGCAAGGGAGGGGACCTCAAATCCTTGCTTTCTGTGTCAGTTTTTTCAGCAGTCTGACTAATCATGGAATCATGCATTTTAGCAAACCTTGCTCCATGTGCTTGCAGCATGATTTTTCAGCCTTTGCATATTACCACAGAGAAGTTCAGGAAGGATGTAAATGATCGTGGCCATCTGGACATACAAAAAGTAAAGCAAATACTGCTGAGAGGGATGGAAGGCCATAGCTCAGGAGAGATGAGGTGTGATTTGGAGATTTGGGAATGCTAAAAGAGCCAGCTCTAGCTGTGCACGTTTAATTTTGGAAGCAGGTGCCATGGCTGATTTGAATAACCTGACACTGACAACCTGTATGTTAATTGTGAAAAGCACTCCGGATAGCTGCTTTTTAAAATATGAGTATTTGCTCATGAGGTGAAAATATAAAAAAGCTGCCATCAGCTAATTGCTAGTGAATGCGGTGATTCCATATCGATATTTTACTGAAACAATAATGGGTAATGGTTTAACGCTTAAGCCTATGTGGGAAAACTAAATGATAACTAGTAGTTCAGGGGGACTGTTCCCCTAGCTTAATTACTGCAGTCCTTGGTACTGAGTACTAAACTACAGAACTTGAGGTTTGATCTTCTGTGGTACTTACTGTGTTGCTAAAAGAAACTGAATAGCATTGTGAGAATGTAGAGAAAGGAAAATGTCTCAGAAAAGAAAGCTTTTCAAGCTGTTACATGATATGGTATGTAGGTAAAATAGGGGTGGCACAGGCAGATTGGGTTAGGAGCATGCCTGGGCTCATATTCTGCTGGAGGCATCCCTGATTGTGTCAGAGGAGGGGAATGAACTATTCAGACTGCATATGCGTGTGGGTGTTTGCACCTAAAAATACATGTCCAGGTTTCACACAAATATATTTGTATTTAATTTCTATTCCTACAGTATTCTGTGAAACAATTTCTGTTCATTGTGATGCTAGTAAAACCTGGCCTTATAAAACAAAACCAGCTTTCCAAAACAGCTGCTGCTGCAGTATTTTGTCATTGACTTGCTACATTAGTATTTTTTGGCCTTAAATACATGCATTAGTCACTGAGTTTCCTGCACATTTGCTTTTCATTCAGTGATGTCCAACCACCATCAATGGGATGTGAAGAGAAGCTAAAGCAGCTGGTATAGCTCCTTAACCCACAGACCACCTGATCCGAAGCTCATGTGAGCCAAGCTTGCAGAGCCAAACCAACTGTGGTAGCATCCAGGAGGAACTCTCAAGTCATGCTTCAAGAAGAAATTTGCTCCTTCCTCCTTTGAAGAAACTACTTTCCATTTTGTAATGTACCTGCTTGAAGTGCTGTATATTCGAGAGTTTGCATTTGGCTCCATTATATAATGTAGCCCTGGAGCTACTCCCTTTTGTTAAACATGTGCTGCACTTGTTTTCTTGTGAGAAAAACACACATGCAGATCCCATCCATCTTACGGCTTCTGTGTCCCATTTTCCTGGCTACATACTCATTTAACAAGCAGTTGAAAAAAATAAAAAGCTCTGGCAGGATCTTTTCAAAATAAAATTCTCCCTGGTTATCAAGATAGGGTTAGAGAATAACAAATCAATGCGATGCCTGCATGACTTTTATTAATACAAGAATGGTAACTGTGGAATGGGGTCTGTGGAATAGAACGTAATCTAGCCATAAAAATCAAGGGGACTTAAATAATAATACATATTGCCAAATACTTCAGCCTTTTTTTCCTTATTTTGTGTTTTTTTCAGGACCTGAGCTTTTAAATCAGTCTGGCTCCAACTGAAGTAATACTTTATGTTTGGAATGTGATTAATGTAGGCTCAGTTCAATTGCCTGGGACTTGTTCTAAGAAGCATCCCTGCTAACTGATTACTTGTATAGTGTTTGCAGACTTCCCAATCCCCATGTGACAAACTGATCCTTCTGTTTTTGTGTGTTTAGGAAGCATCATTCAGTTGGTACAAGACACAAACACTGGTTGAGGATACTGAGCTGGGCTTTTCCTTTTCCATGTCTTTTATAAGACCTGTAGGCAGACAGCACCTCAGGTCAGAAACGAGAAAGATTGAGAAACTGAATCAGAAACTAGAATCAATACTTTAAAAACTAGGGAATATTTTCTTTAAAGCTTTGTTTAAGTGATTGCTGTGGTTACAAGCTCTGTAACCAGGATATTCCAGTTACACAAATAGTAATTGAATTTAGTATGCTTTTAAATTTCAGTCTTCTGCCAAAGAATATATTGAACTGTGTGGGAGTCTTTCCTTACCATTGGGCAGCCTTTCCATTTGGTGCAGTCAACACTAGATGGACTGCCGTGTTGACGGCAGAAGGGGAGCAGCTGCAGACCTTGGTGTACGGCTGGGTGGAACATAGGAACCTAATAATCAGGGGCAAAATACCACATAAAGTGTAATTCACTGCTGCAGGCAGCTCGGCAGCCACATTGGTTCGAGTGGAAGTCAACTTTACAGTAAGGGACGAAAAGTTTTATGGCAGTTCTTCCTGATGATTTTGTAAGCAGTCCTCACTTAAAAATTGACAATGCTTGTACCTTGTTGAATTTAAATTCCTCTGGCTCTGGCTGGAAGAGTCCCTGTTCCACTTCTTTACCTCTGCCCTCCCACTCATGCTGGAGCTGAAGGAATGCTCACAGCCAGGGAGATGATGGACCTGGCTCCCTCCAGACCCAGTGAACTGGCTCTGCACCTTAGTGCTTGCAGGTACAAGATGCCATGTGGAGAGTCTGAAGCCTTGAAGAGAGCCAGCATGGGTATGACTGAGCTGAATTATTTTGCCTCTGCATTCTACCTCATCTGTGGTATCCTTGTGATGTGCTTCTGAGAACTATTTATCTAAAAGGCTTGCATGGAAAAGGAAGGCAAAAGAGGAGCAGGACTTAACTGCCCCCGTTGGTGCATGTCAGTGTCATAAGACCTGTTACCCAGGGGAACATAAAGCATCATGAGCTTGCTCAAGTTCTCTGCAGCACACAGACATTTGGTGAGGGTCCTTGCTTCCTTAGTTGTGCCCTGGAACAAGATCAGTGGGAGCACGCTGTCACTGCCACGGTGTGACTGCTGAATGTGAAGTGTTGTGCTCATGGAGGTGGAGCAGCTGTGCAGCAGGTGGAGCAGGATCACCCACCCATCTTTCTGCTTTTGTGGGAAGATCCTAACAGAAGTAGGTCTCAGGAGCTGCCTATTTGTAGCTGGAAAAAATGAGAAACGAGTCAGTTGCAGTAGAACCAGGAAGCCAAGCTGGGATTTTGGCAATGTAGTTGTCCTCTGTCTCCTGAAGTCTGTGGAAATGGGGTTGTGCCTGTTTATACCAGAAAAAGATATGTGCTAGTGCTTTGGATAGTTGATGGATGTCAGAACTTCAGAGTACAGCTATTGCTGAGAACAAGCGCTGTACAAATTAGTCTAGTCATGTGTTTTGCAGATCCCTCATTAGCAAGGAATTCTTAATAAGAATTATAATATTAATGAGAGTTTATCCTCTAAATCCCTTTCAAAGGAAGAAAAGAATCAGAAAATTGACTCATACAGTAAGGTGAGGACATTTGACTGAAGGCTGAAAGCATGAAAGAGGTGATGGGAGAATTAACATTTCACTTCCTCTCTGGAGAGTGTACAGCAGAAGAGGGCTGGAGGGAGGAATGTTCTGACTCAACAGAAGTCAAGTACAAAAAGCTTCTTCCACTTGTCTCTCTGTCTTGTCATGGTCACTAGAGCTGGTGTGAGTTACTACCCATAGCACCGGGCACAGCCCAATGCAAGAACACCATGAGAGGGGAGTTTGCGTATTGCAGTCAGCTTTTGCTGAGGATTGTGTCTGCACGCTGGCACTTTCCTTGTGGGGATGGCAGTGTTGTCATGACCTTACTGGAGGTTTGTTATTTGTGTGGATTTTGGTGTGCTTCATGTCTGACCTCTGATGAAAATGTGCTGGCAGAAGAGGAGCACTGGAGGGCCCAGCCCTGCTCTGCTACCGGTTTGAGAGCACAGCTGCCCTCGTGTCCCTTTACCACTCAGCTGCCATGTCTGTGCAAACACACACGTACACCTAAAGCAGCTGGACTTTCCAGGCCAGCTTATTATTGAATCCTCTCTTCCTGCCGTGCTCAGCTGCTGACTAGTGGAAATGCAGTTCTGTGAGCCAAGTCAGAGAGAGTAGGCCAAATTTTAAAGTGGGTGTGTATAATCTTCAGAAAAAATACTGTGTAATTGTGAACTCTGTAATTTTCTTCTGATTGTTTTGATGGAGGTCAAGGCATGATAAACATGCATGTGAAAGCTTGCACTAGTTTAACCACTTCAAATTGAAAATGTACAGGCATGAACAAGACCCAGAAATGTCAGTATTACACTTTTGAAAACCTGTAGTGTAGTGGTGAGGACCCCAAAATAAGTCTGACTTTCCTCCGTAGCACAGTTGCTCCCTCTGACTGCTGTAGGTGCACACTGCATGGGCATAGTGGAAGATATT